TTCTCCAGTTTATTTTTAGCAGCAAAGTCCTGAGATCTAAGTTTACTCTATAGCCTGGTGTGATGTGCAGCGAGCGGTTTAGTGGATGAAGACATGGCATTCTGGACTTTCATCTAAGTCTACGAGGCACGTGGCAGGAGTCCAGAAAAAGCTTCAAGAAAATGATTTGGTGGCTGCAGTCCAGTCTAGCAGGGGCAGCTTCCTGCATTACAACTTACACTGTGTTTGGCATTCAGAGAGCAAGGGCTAATTTGACAATAAATGCACCGGCTTTCCTGGAAAGAGGTCTCACCCATTTCTAGATCCAGGCAGCCCATCACTAACGTAATGAACCAATAAAAGGAAGCTGCTAGATGGATTCATAGGCATGCAGCATTATCCTGCATCATTCCACAAAGCTTCAAAGTCTCTCCATCAAAACTGAAAAACAAAATTAAACTCCACTATAGCCATCTCCACTGTTTTGATATAGGTAAATATTCTTGTTTCTATTACAGCCCCTGAAATGTATCCAGTTTAGAGCTGTTGATGCTTCCCAGAAATAATTCCATGATATTTTTCCTTTCCTCACCTGTTTATTGAAAGATTATTAGCATGATTATTTGTTTTGAGAGATCTGCTCCAGGAGCCAATCCTTTTCATGCAAATACCCCTAAATGAGAGTAAAACAAAGAGAAGAAGCAGCACAGAAGCAGCAATATCTAAGACAGAACCACCGCTAAACAGTTCAGAGGTTCAAAATGCTTTAAGTGACCCATCAGATACATAACTCTGGATCAATCAAGTGTCTTCATTCAGGAAAAGCTGAGCCTGGAGGAAGAATCCACAGGATTTAGTTATGACTTCTGAGAAGCTAAATCATTCCAGTCTCTCCCCTACTGCCACAGAGCTTCATAAAAAGTAACTGCAATCTGCACCTTTCAATGCAGTGAAACAATCCAAGGCTCTTTCAGCTCCCCTATACACTGGTATTTCCCTCTGTCCAAGTTAAAATAAGCCGGTGTCAGTGAAGCGAATGGCAGTAGGCTTTTCTCACCTGAAGATGCTGAGGGTAGTTGGGCTGAGACAGCAATGAAAAACAGGACCATCGATGCCTGCTAAGGTAATAGTAGCATCAGATGTTGGTGATCACTGCAGTGATCATTTAGCTTGGGGAGTGAAGATCTCACTTTCTGAAAGCTATTTGTCACTTGCTTACATCAGCAGAACATCAAATACTGAAATTTTCCTTCTGATCACTTAATTGAAAGATGAAAATATGTTTTCACTGACTGCATATAAAGACTACTACAGCTTGTGAGTGGGCAGGCAAGTTATAACCTGACTGATGCCACTGACAGACTACTAGAGAACAAGCTCCGTTGGTACAAGAGGGAAACGTCACTTCTGCATATATAAAATGGGACACTGACTATATAGCAAGTTGAACCATAATTTATATAACTTCAGCGCTTCTTCTCCAGTTATCACAAAGCTCTTCATAAGCATTAATGAATTAACATGGGGCTGGACAGGACCTTGAAAAGTCATCAAGTCCAGCCCCATATGCTGTGGCAAGACCAAGTAAACCTAGACCGTCCCTGACAGGGGTTTGTCCAACCAGTTCTTAAAAGCCTCCAATGATGGGGATTCCACTGCCTCCCTTGGAAGCCTATTTCAGAGCTTAATTTAAGGGCTGTTATAAATAGGATGGTGATCGATTGTTGTCCAAATCCACTGAAGGTAGGACAAGCAGTAATGGGCTTAATCTGCAGCAAGGGAGACTTCGGTCAGATATCAGGAAACACTTCCTAACTCTAAGGATAACTCAGTATCGGAACAGGTTACCAAGGGAGGTTGTGGAATCCCCATCGTTGGAGGTTTTTAAGAACAGACTGGAAAAACACCTGTCAGAGGGTCTAGGTTTACTTGGTCCTGCCTCAGCGCAGGGGGGCTGGAATAAATAACTTCTTGAGGTCCCTTCCAGCCCGACACTTCTATGGTTAATCCAAAGAGAAAAGTTTGCTGGACAATAGCAGCACAGATTGAGAAAACTGACTCTTTAGCTAAATTATGCTCCTTCTCTAATCTCCTTTTTGTTAGATCTAGTTATGAAAGAAGCTGCAATTTAAAGGGCAATCCTTACTTCATAGGCCTCAGTCTAGGATTTCATGCAGTCTGCCTTTGTCTAGACAGATGATGACCAGCTTTCATCTACAAACCAGTTTGCTATCTCTGGTCATTAAAGCTGTCTGCTGTGTTCAACAACTGAGCAGGGGTTTCTTGGTGCTTTGCTCCTGGCTTGTTGCTTACAGATGAGCTGAATTGTGATCATCCCAGTTCAGTGCTCTGGGTCTCCAGCATTTCCCTAATCACTTCTCTAGTTCTCCTGGGATCTATCCTGGCATTTCAACAGTTTAATGACCAGAGGAACATAGACATGTGGATTGTCTCCAGTATCAAATGTAGAAAGATGATTCCAAAATCAATCAGTTGTCTTTGCTTCTGTTAAGAACAGCCTTCCATACTTCGTAAGTTAGATGCTAACAAGAAAGAGCTGTAACCCACTGGAGCATCCCACTGGTGTTTTATCATCTCTCCCTCACTAATCCTGTCTCTGATGCAGCAGGGCTCTTTTCCACTTACTTCAAAAGCTCATAGTCCCAGTGTGACCCTCTACTCTCAAACTCACATTAACCAACTGGTGAAGGTGTCATGCCATTGTCTTAGAGTCAGCTGCTGTTTATGACTCACACCATCCCTACCAGGATGCTGAAACTGAGCAGTCTGATTCAAATCCTAGTTCATTTTCCTTTTAGGAACCATTTTGAAGCCTAATCTCTAGTTTCCAGTGGAAACTTGTGCACATTAAACAGACATTTCAAAGTTTTCTATAATGCTGTACATCTATAGGCTGCTTCAACAGTGAGACAATCTCCCAGTTCATGAGAATTGGCAACATTTGCTAGAGCCACCCACGAACAGAACAGCAGTGACTGCTGGAGACCAATGTTCAGTTGTATTGGTAGAACTCTATGGGGACGGAGGACTGGAAGAGCTGGGGTTATTGCAAGTCAGGATTGAAATGTGTTCACAAGAGCTGAGAGGAGAAGTTATTCATAGATTTTAAAGCAAGGATTATGATCTTAGTCTGACCGCCTGCATAACAGGCCATAGACTTTCACATAGTAATTCCTGCCTCAAGCATGTAACTTCTGATTGAACTTGAACAGATCTTTCAAAAAGGAAACATCCAATCTTTATTTAAGACTTCAAGTGACACAGAAGCTACCACATCCCTTGGTAAGCTGTTCCAACAGTTCGTTAGCCTCACTCAAACATTTGCACTGCATTTCTAGTCTGAACTTCTCCGGCTTCCCACTTCCAGACGCAGAATCTTGTTCTGCCTTTTGTCTTGTGGATTAGAGTCCTCTCTTAGATAAACCTTCTTGCTGTAGGGACTTCCAGAAGATGATCAAAGCACCTTTAGTCTTCTCTTTGATAAGTAGATTGAACGTCAAAGCTCATTAAAAAGCACATTTTCCAGACCTGAAATCACTCGTAGCTCTTTTCTAAACCCTGTCCAATATTTCCACATCTTTTCTGAAGTATTGATACTAGCACGGTGCACAATATTTCAGTAATGGTCTCACTATAGTCCTATACAGACGTAACACCACTTCCCTATTCACACTCATTTTCCAACTTACGCAGCAAAGGATAATTTCAGCTCTCTTGACCAGGCACCACATTGGGAGTGCACGTTCAGGTGGTTATCAACCACAACCCTTTTCTCAGTCTATCCTGCAGGTCTCAGCAATTGCTGACTTTTCTCTGAGGGCATCATTTTGTTCCCATACACATTAGGAAACTCCCTCCTGCCTAGCTCCTAATTTGAAGGAATTTTGTGCTGCAAGAATGATTAGGATGCCATGAACACTGGACTATGCCAAGAGTGATTAAGGCAGCATTAAGGAAGTGACTAATACAAAGCCATACTCCTTTCCATATGGTGGAGGCAGAGCCTTAGCTTCAAAGCTTGACAATCAACCACTTCAAGAACGAAAAGAAAAGGTGAGGGATAGACAGGGCAGAGCTGAGCCAGCTGAGTCATATCCTCTAATAAAATTACAAATATCTGCACTCGGATCAAAATACTGAGCCCACTGATCAGGCATGGGAGAGAGTCAAAACAAACAAAAAAAACCCTACAAGCAGCAAAGATTTCTGAGACCCAGAACCTGGGGTGGAGGTAGAGTAGTGACGAAAAGGTGTAGCCTGGCCAATTGTTTAACTACACTGACAGTTTGTTCTTAAAAATGTTCTAGAGACTGAATTTAGCCACATTTATTGTCTAAATACAAAGCAGCACAATATGAAAAAGGGACAGAAGTACCTTCGTTCCGGGAAGCAAATTCTCGCAGCATGTTCACATTATGTAAAAGGTGTGCTTCAAAGTCATGAATGTCAGCTGGTAGTATTTACAGTGTGATTTTTACAAGTTTCAAGACTCTTTATACTTAATTAAAAATCCAACCCACCAGTTCCTTAACTTGTTGTTCTGTTCCTTTCTTAGCTGTTTAAATACTACATCCCAAACTAGTTGGGCGTAGAGGTACAACCTAACCTGCGCTAGCATATGCCTTTCGTGTATTGTGGCTTTGATAGGCTTCCTGTTTTCTAATGACAAAGTTGCCTTCAGCTTTGCAGTGTTGTGGGATACTTGGTATGGGTGTACAGAACTGAAAGGAGAGCAGAGTACATTCAGTTAACATAACTTTCCAACACACATCTATTTATATTTTAATACCATACACATACCCATTGATGTGGTGTATACTACACCTACCATATGTATTGGCAACGAGTGTATGTCTGTCAGTCAGTCAGTGGCTTTATTCCATTAGTGTGCTTATGTTACAAAGCAAGACCAACCCTTCTGCATGCTAGTAATAATACAGGCAGTTATTCAGGGCTCCCTCAAAGAGTTCCCTGCTGCCAACTCTTCACCCCCAGCATACCTTACTCCAGGCGAGATGGTCACTAACGTCATCAATAGAGAGGGCTATCATTTTAACGTTGCGCTTTTTGAACTCAGGGGCCAGCTTTGCTGCTCGACCCAGCTCAGTGGTGCAGACGGGAGTGAAGTCACGGGGATGAGAGAAGAGGATGCCCCATCTGAAAGGGAACAGAATGGAGAACAGCAACAGAATGAGCCCAGATTCTGATTAGGAATCTGTTAGACACACGGAGAAATACCTAGCTGCAGATGGTATTTTAAGCTTGCTGGCCTCAGGAATTAAGTGCACTGTTCATCTCCTCATCAACTGAGCAAGGAATTCCTTTAAGAGATCCTTCTTGTGTCTCCATCACTGTAAGAGGCTGAGGTGAAGCAAATCTTGCAGAATGACCCTTCAGGCTTTTAGAACTCTTCTCCCCAATCCTCACTCTTCATTCTCATCTCCCTGTTTTGCCTCTCCACTTTAGCTTAATGATGTGAACTGTGGGCATGTCACCATATCAAAAGATAATAAACTAAAAAACTTTAAAGTGATTTGTCTCCAGTGGCTGCCACTTCCACTCCCATCCTCCAGGACAAACGTTGCATTTCTTTGTCAAGTAGAATCACCATAAAGTTAATGCCGATGTATACGGTATACTCGTTAGACCTTTATAGTGCCACTGGAACAAGACTCCGCTACTAAGTCACCTGAATTAACATCCTGAAAGGGTCACTGATATTTTACAACCTCAATTATTACCTTCTGTGCAGTTTTCATCTGGTCAGTCACCTCTAGATGGGGACACCCCTTCAAAATAAGGTGCTGGGTCTTGTCCTGGCCTAGTTTGTTATACTGAACCTCAGAATAGTAGTAGTTAGCAGCTATGTGCCGTGATAGCTCTAGGTTCTGGTGTGATAAATAATACCTAGCTCTTACATAGTACTTTTTATCAGTAGATATTAAAGTGCTTTATAAAGGTGGTCAGTATACCTGAACCTCTTTTACAGATGGGCAAACTGAGGCATGCAGAGGGGACATGACTTGCCCACGCTCACCTATCAGGCCGGTGGGGTGGGGTGAGGGGGGTCTCCTGCATCCCAGTCCATTGCTCTATCCACCAGGCCACATCACCTCCCCATTGATAAGCTGGGAAGGACCGTTTTAAAATAAATAAGTAAATAAATAAATAAAAAAATGGGGAAACAACCCACATAAGCACTATTACAAAGAGTCTTCAGAGATGAAGAACTTTCTGTAAGTATGACTCAATAATTAAAAAGGAAGAAGTAAGCATTTCTTAGAACACTTTTAGGTAGGTAACTGGGATCTCCATAACGGCTAAAAGTGACAGGACCTCATGCCGTGAGCTCATTAGTAATCCCAACATCAAGTTTCTCTAAGAAAAATCCTGACCCCAGATACATACAGTACTTGCCACACAGCATTTTTTTTACTTGACCCACAGTAGACATGAAACACATTAGTCCACACTAGCCTGTGCAGCCTCCACCTTATTTGATCTGCACCAGCAGTGTTAACCCAGGGACAAAACAAGTTACAGTTTAGCTCATAGATCTGAATTACTGTGTGATGAGCATGGTTGTTAGGGGAGTTTATGGCTTTGCACCTTTTTATTACTGTATATATTATCTGGTGAAAACTACCCAGCTAACTTGTAACAACACTGAAATATAAAAACTCAAACTGTTGTAGAGATAAGGCAGAAAATCTGCCAAGTTTGGCTACTATAGACTTGCCAATTTTCAAAATATGCCATGGGGAGCAACGTAAAATTGAAAGTAACTCCCAATTGCACTTCCTTTTAGGGCTGTCTCATGATTAATCACACTGTTAAATAGATGGTATTCTATGATAGTTTAACTATTTTTGGAGGTTTTCTACATTTTCAAATATATTTATTTCAGTTACAACACAATGCAAAGTGTACAGTGCTCACTTTATATTTATTTTTTATTAAAAGTATTTGCACTGTAAAGAATAGTATTTTTCAATTCACCTAATACAAATACTGTAGTGCAATAACTTTATCATGAAAGTACAACTTACAAATGTAGAATTACGTACAAAAAAGTGCACTCAAACAAAACAATGTAAAATTTTAGAGCCTAGAAGTCCCCTCAGTCCTACTTCTTGTTCAGCCAATCACTCAGACAAACAAATTTGTTTACATTTTCAGGAGATAATGCTGCCCACTTCTCATTTACGTCACCAGAAAGTGAGAATAGGTGTACTCATGGTACTATTGTAGCCGGCGTTGCAAGATATTTATGTGCCAGATGCTAAAGATTTATTATGTCCCTTCATGCTTCAACCACCATTCCAGGGGACACACATCCATGCTGATGATGGGTTCTGCTCAGTAATGATCCAAAGCAGTGCAGACCAACACATGTTCATTTTCATTATCTGAGTCAGATGCCATCAGCAGAAGGTTGATTTTCTTTTTTGGTGGTTCGGGTTCTGTAGTTTCTGCATCAGAGTGTTGCTCTTTTAAGACTTCTGAAAGCATGCTCCACATGTCATCCCTCTCAGATTCTTAAATCTTGGGTCGAGTGCTGTAGCTATCTTTAGAAATCTCACATTGGTACCTTCTTTGCGTTTTGTCAAATCTGCAGTGAAAGTGTTCTTAAAATGAAGAACACGTGCTGGGTCATCATCCGAGACTGCCAGAACATGAAATATATGGCAGAATGCAGGTAAAACACAGAGCAGGGGACATTAAACTCCTTGGGGGAGAACTGTGTCACAAATTTAATTAATGCATTTTTTTTTACGAGTATCAGCATGGAAGCACATCCTCTGGAATAGTGGCCGAAGCATGAAGGGGCACATGAATATCTTGCAATGCTGGCTAAAAAAGTGCCATGCAAAAACCTGTTCTTATTTATAGTGTCACCAGACAGTGAGAAGAGGGGCAGCATTATCTCCTGTAAATGTAAACAAACTTTTTTATCTTAGCAATTGGCTGAACAAGTAGGAGGACTGAGTGGACCTGTAGGCTCTAAAATTACACTTTCATGACAAAGAGATTGCACTACAGTACCTGTATGAGGTGAACTGAAAAAATACTAATTTCTTGTTTATCATTTTACAGTGCAAATATTTATAATCAAATATATACACTTTGATTTCAATTACAACACAGAATACAATACACCTCTACCCTGATATAATGCGGTCCGATATAACGCCAATTTGGATAGAACGTGGTAAAGTAGCGCTCCGGGGAGCGGGGCTGCTTTACCTTGTTATATCTAAATTTGTATTACCGCAAGCAGTTCCTCTGCACCTCCCCCCCATTACTTGCCGTGGCCCCCCCGCCCCAGCTCACCTCTGCTCTGCCTCCTCCCCTGAGCACACTGCAACTCTGCTTCTCCCCCCTCCCAGGCTTGCCAGGCCAATCAGCCTGGGAGGGGGGAGAAGCGGCGCTGCGGGGTGCTTGTGGGAAGAGGGGGAGTGGAGGTGAGTGGGGGGGGGTGCAGAAAGTAAGGGGGGGCAGAGGAACCATTCCCCGCCCCAGCTCGCCTCTGCCTCCTCTCCTGAGCGCGCCACCGCCACTCTGCTTCTCCCCCCTCCCTTCCAGGCTTCCCGTGCCAAACAGTTGATTGGCGCGGCAAGCCTGGAAGGGAGGGAGAAGTGGAGCAGTGGCGGCACGCTCAGGGAAGGAGACGGAGGCAGAGCAGAGGTGAGCTGGGGCGGGGAGCGGTTCCTCTCCCTACTCCGATACAACGCGGTCTCACCTACAAGACGGTAAGATTTTTTTGGCTCCTGAGGACCGCGTTATATCGGGATAGAGGTATCGATATGAAAATGTAGAAAAACATCCAAATTAATTTTTTTTGAGTTAATTGCATGAGTTAACTGCAATTAATTGACAGCTCTACTTTCTTTGCTTATTTAGCTGACTGAGTGGTGCAGAATGAACTATGCTCAAATAGTTTGTAGTCCAGTAGGAATACCTCCAAAGGTCAAATGCTGAACTGCATGTACAGAGGGTAACAGGCTGAGGATTACGAAAACCCATGACTGTGCCTAGAAACCCAGCAATGGATTTTGAAGAGTGGTGCATTTACAGGAATCTGATTTTATGGATATTCCCTTCTCTGGCGCGCACACACACACACACACAGACAGACTAGCTGGGGCTCCTGGCCGGTGTCTTGACCCTCAATAACAGGGTTTTTTTTGTTTGTTTGTTTTTCTAAAATAGAGGGATTTTTAGATCTGACTGCATCCAAAAGCCACCATCCTACACATCCAAACGAGACCAGTATAGCAAACTTCAGTCTGTTCCATCCCGCAAGCTCAGTCAGCTGCCAGGACACCCATTTGTATCTGACAGAAGCCAGGTAAATTATTCTGATATGTAAATGTGAACCCTAGTCCCAAAGGAATCTGGATTTTTTTAAATTTACTTCCCCCGCTACTTAGATGAACTCTGTGCGCTTCATTTCCACCAGCACCGCCTACCTATAACATAGGATAATGGTCTTATCCCTCCCTTGTAAAGTGCTTTGAAATATACTAAGCATTGCTAAGTTTTGTCTAGAGATTGGGCTTGGAATGGAATCAATTCACTCCACCATTGCTAATCTTGGGATAAAAAACGACAACCCAAGTTTACAGAAAACTTTGCACCTCAACGATGCCTTCCATGCAAGGAACGCAAAGGGCTTATCTACACTTAAAATGCTACAGCAATACACCTGCGCTGCTGTGGCATTTCAGTGTAGACACTACCTCTGTAGATGCAGGTAATCCACCTCCCCAAGAATCCTTTCAACGACTGAGCACTGTCTACCTGGGGATTTAGGTCGGCATAACACCACTGCTCAGGGGTGTAGATTTCTCACATCATTGACGGATGTAGTTAAACCAACCTAATATTCTAGTGTAGACCAGGCCAAAGTACTGCAAATACAATAATGAACTGAGATCATACCCCTAAGAGGTAGCACACATGTCACAGATAAGGAAACTGAAGCTCTGGGAAGTCAAGTCACAGGAAGGGTGTGATAGAATAAAGAGAACCCAGTTTGATTCCCAGTATCCTGCGATGAGTGCTAGAGCAGTGGTGCCTAGTCTGTGACCCTGGAGGGCAATTGTGATAAGCAGAACATTTGTTTGATTATGAATGGAAAGCAAATACCCTAAGCTGTGCCCTGAGCCTCTGCATCAGTCCTGCTGCTACCTGAGGGAAATGTGGTGCATGGCCTCCCACCAGTCTCCCACAGCCCAAGGAGCAGCACCAGGAGCATTCCCATAGTCCTGTCCCTCCCCTTGGCTGTCTGCTGCCCTTTTGAAATAATATATTTGGCCCTCAGGTGGCAAGCTTTGGGCACTACGGCAACAGACTGTTTCCTCATGGAATACATGAACACAGACCATTTCAAAACCATCCCCTTCTGCAGGGCTGGCTTTTGTGCTGCCATCAAACTCCACTAAGGGACCAGCAGCAGTCCAGTGACAGTCAATCACAGTGGCTTCTCCAGCTCAAATCAAGTCACACAACAGTGGCCCTACCCAGTGTAGAGATTTCATCTTTTTACTATCCCTACTTCCTTCACTACCAAATCTAATACGTTTCCTTTTATTCCACCATTCAGGGCACCTGACAGTGCATGGTGCTATGTGAACTGTCTCCAGCAGCATAGTCCCTCTACTTACTCTCTCAAATCTTCTTTAATTTCATGCCACCAGATTATGTTGAAAAATTGCTGCCTTTTAATGCCCTACCAGGAAACTGCCGTCATCCCAGACCCATAAAACACATTTGAAATGACTGTTACTATAATTTCAGATGAACAAACATTGGACATTAGGTATTGAACAAACTGGCACAGCAGCGTCTTTTTATTTCAGTCACATTGCTTTGGGGGCTGAGGTTGTTCTACACAGAGCATGAAAGTTAACAGTCTTTTATACTTCCCCCTTGGGGAAATGGGGTATAAAGATACAGATTTGTTTCCAAGTTCCATTGTCTGATCTGTTTGCCTTTTTTGTGATTTAATATGAGTAATCGGACATGAAATATTAGAGCTTGTTTACACAAGGTCAGAAATGACTCAGCTGTTTCAAAGCCTACATGGGATCCTGTTCTTTCCAAATCCCACACTGGTTCATACCAGTAAGTGTCATCCTCGGATACTGAGCAACTGGCCTGATAGCATATGTTCTGGCAACGTGGGCACAGCCCTTTGTATTTCACACTACAGCATGCTCCCTATTAGCGTTATGGAAGACACATGCGCTTTAGACTGAATAGTAACTATGGTGAGCTAAATCCTCAGTCCCCTTTTAACTACTGTACTTGCTGTGTTCCACTGATGAACAGCAGACAGTCTAGCGGTCCTATGCAGAGTTCCCCAGGAAGGTACGTTATGCATGGAGCTGTCGACTGTGAAAATACTGTCCTATAGTAGTCTTACTATGGAAATACCTCTTTCAAACTTCAAGGGATTGCCAGACAGCTTAGTCCCAACATTTAGGATTTGTAAGAAATGTTGCAGAAACAAACAGTCAGCCATTATCCCCTCCCCGCCAGAGAGGAAAAGAGCCCAGCCACTTCTTCCCCCTCACCTCCTAGCCCTATAACCCCCCAGAGAGAAGGAAAGAGGAACCCCCCCAAAGCCTCTGAACCCTATAGCTCCGCCTAGAGAGAGAAGGAAGAGAAGCCAGCCCACCCCCGCAGACCTCGAAAGCCGGGGCGGTGGGGGTCTCTGTCCCCTACCCCGGACCCCCCCGACACCACTCACGAGTCTCCCAGGAAGTCGTGGAAGCGGATGCGGCCGTGCGTGGTGTCCACCTCGAAGTTGGGGGCCTCGTCCCCCAGCAGCAGTCCCGGCATGGCTGTCGGCCTGACTCCCCGCGGGCGACGTGCTGGAACTGCGGCGGCGGCAGCAGCCGATACAGCCTCCTGCAGGGGGCGGGGCCCGGTTGCCGCAGGCGGGGCGGCCACTGATTTGTAGCGGAAGGAGCAGATAGCGCCTTGCAAGGTGCGCAGCTAGTGGCTAGAGCAGCGGCCCGGGGGCTAGGACGCCTGGGTTCCAATCCTGGCTCGGCCCCTGGCAAGTCACGTCACTCTGTGTGTTTAGCGTGCAAGCCCTCGAAACAGGGGCTGTCGCTTGTCACGTGCTGGGGTCGCATCTAGCCTAGTGGTCCCCAACATTTTCCATCACGCCCCCCCACTAACGGTAATGGAACCTGTGCGCACCCCCCACCATGATTGGAAGCCTGGAGCTGAGGCAGGAGGCTGGGGGGCTGGGAGAGGGCCAGGGCTGGAGCCCAAGCTGGGGCTGAGTCAGGGCTGGGGGCAGAGTGGAACCCAGAGTTCTGGGTGGCACTCCCTCCTGCCCTCCGTGTTGGCCTGCCCAGATCCTGGTGTGCCTCCCCCGGGATGTTCTTCCACACCCCCCAGTTTGGGAACAAGTGATCTAGCCCTTGGTTAGGGCTTCTAGGCCACTACCCAAAATACAAATAGGAATCACACCAATAACATGCAAACATCACTTCCATAACCCAGTTCTCAAACATTAAGGAAATAGTTTAATACTATTTTAAAGACAGAACAATTAACTCTAAATAGCAACTAACCTTTATTAAGACAGGATGAGGATAAGCAAGCAACATGAAAAAGAATAATAAAAAAGCAGCATTTTATAAAAACATACTCTATTAATACAACTTTTTGTATCAGCTTCTCTGAGAAAAGCTCTTAGGATAGTATTACTGGCCAGAGGTGCAGCTGTCTGCACAAGGAAAAAAGTTGCCCCTTAAACATATAATGTACTGGTGGCTAGAAAAGAATTTGCAGGATCAGAGCCCAAGCATGTGTGTAATTTTACTCATATGAGCAGGCCCATTGCAGAAATGTGTGTAAAGTTATGCATGTGTGGCTTTAGAACATAAGAATAACCACAGGAGTGGATCAAACCAGTGAATAGCCCAGTATCCAGTCTCTGATAGTGGCCAGTGCCAGATGTTTCAGAGGGAACGAAAAGAACAGGGCAATTTCAAGTGATACATCCCTGTCATTCAGTCCCAGCTTCTGGTAGCTGGAAGTTTAGAGACATCCAGACTATAGGGTTGTGTCCCTGACAATCTTGGATAATAACCATTGATGGACCTATGCTCCAGGAATTTATCCAATTCTTTATATTTTTAATCCAGTTATACTGTTGGCCTTGACAATATCCCATGGCAATGAGTTCCACAGATTGACTGTGCATTGTGTGAACTATTTCCTTTTGTTTTAAACCTCCTGCCTACTAATTTCATTGAGTGATTCCTAGTTCTTGTGTTGTGTAGGATGTAAATAACATGTCCTTATTCAGTTTCTCCACACCATTCATGATTTTATAGATTTCTCTCATGTCCCCTCTTAGGTCTCCTTTGTAAACTGAACAGTCTGGTCTTTTTAATCTCTCCTCATATGGCAGCCGTTTCATACCCCTAATATTTTTGTTGCCCTTTTCTGAACCTTTTCCAATTCCAATATATCTTTTTTCAGCTGGGGCGACCAGAACTGCATGCAGTATTCAACATATGGCCATACCATGCATTTATATAGTGGCATAATGATATTTTCTGTTTTATTAGCTATCCCTTTCCGAATAGGTATTCTGTTAGCTTTTTTTAGCTGCTGCAGAACATTGAGCAGATGTTTGCAGAGAACTATCCACAATTACTGCCAAGATCTTTTTCTTGAGTGTTAAAGCTAATTTAGACCCCACCCTATTATATGAATAGTGAGGATTATTTGCAGGACTGGGGCCAAAATTAGAAAAATGCAGACTTTAGACTGAAGAGAATTTATGTAAAACGACAAAGGGCTAAATCTAGTCAACTGCTGAGCACTGAAATCAGGATTTGGGCCCAGGGCTGTTTAAGTATACACTGGATCATTGTAACAATTTGTGAACAATGATATGAGGCATTAGACAATTTTCTTTTAAACCATAGCTTGCATTCTGCAGCTTCTGAATTTGCACTGGGATTCAAATAAATACCTTATGTGGGCTAAGTCCATCCTATGTGGTGGATGATTTACTCAGACCTACAATGAAGGTTTCTGGGAGAGACGATTTCACACACAGTGAATCCATGAGCCTACTCAGGGCACCCATGCAGTGCAGTGCACCTTCTGTGCCCATGAGACTGTGCCATGAGAGACGCCCTCAACTTTCTCTCTCCACACACAATGCACATGGTCCCTGTCTCCCCAAGCACTGGGGGGGGGGGGCATAACCATGACTCCTCAAACTCTCCCACCCTCAGGTTGCTGCTTCTTGACTCACAAAACTGATCCCACATGACCATCTCTATCTTGCCCTGCCAGGGCCCCACAAGCCCTGCATGATACTGACCCACCCACCGCCGGGCCCACCCCGCAGCGCTGACTGCTGGCGCTCCCCCACCTCTTCCTCTTGGCGCCTGGGGAACTGAAGCATCTGACAGGTTTCAGAGTAGCAGCCGTGTTAGTCTGTATTCGCAAAAAGAAAAGGAGTACTTGTGGCACCTTAGAGACTAACCAATTTATTTGAGCATAAGCGTTCGTGAGCTACAGCTCACTTCATCGGATGCGTTCCTTGAAGTGAGCTGTAGCTCAGGAAAGCTCATGCTCAAATAAATTGGTTAGTCTCTAAGGTGCCACAAGTCCTCCTTTTCTTTTTGAAGCATCTGACAGTGACACACTACTCCTCCCACGCGACCACCACTGGCGACGGACGTCATGTGACTGGCCCCGACCTCCCCTAGAAGAAGCGGCGCGGCCGGGAGCTGTGAAACAAATAAGCAGCGGAGGTAGGAGGAGAAGAGACACAGGCGCAGTGCACGAGTTAGTTGATGCTGTGGTTGCCGCGTAGAGCGGCGCGGAAGGGCGGCCAGGCGCCGGAGGGAGCCATGGCGACGTACGTGAGCGAGCTGGAGGTGGCCAAGAAGAACCTGAGCGAGGCGCTAGGCGAGAACGTGAAGCAGTGAGTGGGGCCCGCTCCCGGCCACCCTGCGCCCCGCACACGCAGCCCGGCTAGGTCCGCCGAGCCCCGGCCTCGGTTTCTGCCCGGTCCCGGGGGAGCGGGGCCTGCCGGCCGGTGGAGGCCGCTCCTGGGCCGAGGGGCTCAGCCTGGAGCGTGTCCCAGTCGCTGGTCGCCCCGCGGCCTCGACTTTCCCTAGGACAACTGGCAGCCCCCGGCCCGCAGGGGCTGACGTCCTGGCCTGGTGGGGGCGGGGCAGGGCGGGGCGGGGCGGCGGACACCGGCCTCGCGCTTTGGGCCGCGCGGGCGGGCGGGCGAGCGGGGGCGGGAGCCTGCTCATGGGTGCCCGCGCCTCGCCGCGCGGAGGGCGTGGGCCGGCGTTTGGAAGGGAGCGGTGGCTGACAGGGGAACCAACCGCGGGAACCGGCGTCCCGAGGCCCTGTGGCGTCGCCGTCTCGGGCCATTTTGAAATCCCGCCTGGCCGCTCGGTCTGTCAGATCGGCCTAGGCAGTGGCGTGGGGCAGCTCCGCGGCCTGCGCTAGGCGGTCCCAGCGCTGCCTCGCAGTCTATGACTTTATTCATCTAAGCAGCATCTCTTCATTCATTGACAGGAAGCTTGAGCTTTGCAGGCCTAGCTTAATAACGGGTCCGTTTCACCCCGTGCTCGGGCCTTTGAGGGCAGTAAGAGATCAGGGGAAGTGATGAAGTAGCAGCCTCTGTCTCTTCTCCCACCAGCTTGTCCGGTTTAATTCGATCCAGTTAAAACTCTGGATTTAGCAAAAAGCTGGCAAATGTAGCCGGAAGGGACCTGCTGACTCCTGCTGCTCTCTTGTTTACTTTAGATGAACTGGTCTTCATGCAGAGAGGCAAGCTTTTTTCACCCTCTGGGTTTGCACTGAAACATCCTGTTCCACCATGAGAAATTGTAGGCCCACACTTTTAACACACATGGCGCTTAACTAGGTCATTTAAGGTCTGCCTGTTTAATTAAAGATGCCTCCTTTCCCGTCTGCTTAAACTAAACAGCTAGTAAGCAAGATGAGAACTGGTTGTTCTCTTGGTCTTTTACTTGGAGTACATTTAGAAATTTGCAAGGATTCTGTATGAGTACAAAGAAAAGGAGTACTTGTGGCACCTTAAGAGACTAACCAATTTATTTGAGCATGAGCTTTCGTGAGCCACAGCTAAGTGAGCTGTGGCTCACGAAAGCTCATGCTCAAATAAATTGGTTAGTCTCTAAGGTGCCACAAGTACTCCTTTTCTTTTTGCGAATACAGACTAACACGGCTGTTCCTCTGAAACCTGTATGAGTACAATGGACCACTTAGTTCATGTGCCTTTGCCTATGCTAAACTTAGTGCTATGTAATTGTTTTTCCATTTCCCCCATAATAAACTTAAATAAAAAATTAGAGACTTCTGTTTATAAGCAATATAACAGAAACTGAATTGGTTCAAATGGGTTCTGTCTCTGGTTCTTCCACTGGGTTATTTTGACCCTGGTCAAGTCACTTCACACCTTTGTGCCTTCATTTTCTCATCAGCAAAATGGTGAAAATGATATTTCCGTCCCTCGTAAAGCACTCTGTGAGAGCTAGGTAGTGTTATTAATGGCGGGCATCAACTCTGGATGTTAGAGTGCTGCGGTTTGCTTCTAACACATTTGTTGTTAGATCATGGTGGCAAATAAGAATTTGTTGAAATAGTTCTTAAATGCTTTCACCTACAGGGAAATAATGTCACTCAGAATGAATGATCATAATCACTAATTTCAGTTCATGGTTCATGTTTGGCCTGAGTCTCAGAAGCTGGCTTTGCTCTAGCGCATGAAAGCTTGGGCTATCAAAGGGGGAGCATAGCGCAGATGAGGGACGTGTCTGATGGAGATTCAGGGAGAAAGTGTTAATGGTCATACTATAGCATTGAAAGGTTAACACCAGTATT